TCATCATCACCATCACCATTGTCACCATCATCACCACCACCCTCACCATTACCATCATCATCACCACCATTCTTATCAATTCCACCACCTTCTTCACCACCATAAAACCTTTCATTCTTTCAAGAAATACTTCTTGAGTGCCTACTATGTACCAGACACTAGAGCTTGTGTTGAGAATATAGCAACCCAAGCACACACAACCCAAGCATGAGCAACCCAAACACAGCCCCTGGCATTAAGAAGTGCATAGTGTAGACTTCTCAGCCTTCTCAAAGCAGGACCCAGAGAGAAAACAGTCACGTTTGTATGGCCCACAGGGGTCCATGGAGGAGGATTCTAGATGCTGGAGATGACTCGCCTTAGGAGCTGCAGCACTCCTGTGACACATTCTTTTTTTTTTTTTTTTAAAGATTTTATTTATTTATTCATGAGAGACAGAGAGAGAGAGAGGCAGAGGGAGAAGCAGGCTCCCAAGGAGCAGGGATCCTGACGCGGGACTCGATCCCAGGACTCCAGGATCATGACCTGAGCCAAAGGCAGACGCTTAACCATCTGAGCCACCCAGGCGCCCCTCCTGTGACACATTCTTAAAGAAACATGGTGCCATGAGAGATGATGGACTCTGAAAAACTGAGGGTTCTAGAGGGTAGGGGGGTGGGGGGATGGGTTAACCTGGTGATGGGTATTGAGGAGGGCACGTTTTGCATGGTGCACTGGGTGTTATGAACAAACAATGAATCATGGAACACTGCATCAAAAACTAATGATGTAATATATGGTGATTAACATAACAATAAAAAAAATTAAAAAAAAAAAAAAAGAAACATGGTGCCAAGATTCAAAAATTGATTAACTGGTGAGAAAATCATTAAACAAAAGTGTCTTTAGGACAGGGTGCCATGAGAGAAAGTAACAGGGGGAGGTTGTTTGGATTTGGAATCTAGGAAGTGACATAGATGCTGAGACACAAAGGATGAAAAGTCATTTCATGCCTAGGGGATGACTTATATGAAAGGTTTGGTACATTCTAGAAAAAAAACAAAAGAAGAGTAATCAAGCTAGAACATAGTGAGAGAGGAGCAAGTAGAGGGAAATGAGATTGCAGTACAGGTAGGGGCCAGGTCATGCCGGTCTTGAGGTCATGTAAAGCGTTTGGATTCTAGTTGAAGCCACTGAAGGGGTTTGGGCAGAGAAGTGAAACTTTACATTTTTTTACATTTTTGCATTTTTAAAAATTTCACTCTCCATACTGGCTTTAGCATGGAGCATAGACTATAGGGAGGCAGGAAGGCCAAAAAGGAGGTCAGTTAGCAGTAGAAACAGCACAAGCTGCTAGTGGCTTGGGCTAGGATGGTGACAGCAGTGCAGACAGTGAAGTGAGTAGATAACTTTTAAAACTGAGGAGGGTAGGGGGCACCTGGGTGGCTCAGTCGGTTAAGCATCTGCCTTTGGCTCAGGTCATGATCTCAGGGTCCTGGGATCGAGCCCCACATTGGGCTCTCTGCTCAGTGGGGAGTCTGCTTCTCCCTCTGCCTCTGTGATCTCTCTCACTTTCACTCTCTCTCAAATAAACAAAATTAAAAAAAAAATAAAATAAAATTGAGGAAGGTAGAATTGATAGGACTTGGTGATCAACTGGGGTTGAGAATTACTCTTTTCCTTGTTACCTTCTTCTCCTTACCAACACCATCTTAATCATCATTGGCATCCTCGCCTTCATTATCAACCGCATTGGCACCCTGAACAGAACTATCACCAGCAAGAGCTTATTCTCCCCTTGACTGTGCACGCCATTCCATTCCATCACTCTTTCCACCACGGCCATGATTAGGATTGATCTTTTCCATAACCATCACCACTGAAGGCTTTGCTTTCAACTCCATCCCACTGTCTTCTTTTCTTACTGATGTACACTTGTTCTTGCTTGCAACATCATCAAAACAGCACTCAAATGTTCCATCAGCACCAGGGAGCCAAGACGAAGGTAAAATTCAATGAGGCTGGTCCCAGGCCACCCAAGGATGTCTATAAAGTTAAATCTCTCCTTTCTCTTGGCTGTTTTTCTTTCTCTCATCTTCATTCTTACCCAGACTCTCATTTGTTGGACGCCGGGGGCTGCCTTTCACAGATTAGCAACTCTGCCAAAAAGAATCTCTTTTTCAGTGGTGCAAGCCAGATTTCCAAAATTGAAGCTGATATCCCCAGCTCTGACCAATCTCTGTGGGTGGGAGGGATAAAATGCACTGGCTGGCCAAGTCTAGATCACCTGCCCGCTCCTGGAGCCCACGTACGATGGATCCATCTCACTCCAACATTTGAACTAAGAGGTGTCCTGGCTATCAAATGTAGAAAATAAAAACACAGGACACCCAGTCAAATGTGAATTTCAGATAAGCCGTGAATGGATTTATAGTATAAGTATGTCCCGTGCAATACTTGGAATATACTTATACAAAAAAAAAATTATTTTGTTGTTGATATCTAATCTGAAGTTCAAACTTAACTGAGTGTCCTGTATTTTATCTGGCAAACCCAGCTGGCTTCCCAAAGGAACACCAAGGTGCTATCACCAGAACCGGGAGGAGGGCTAAAGGGAGACCAAAAGAGCAGATGCCCCTACACCCAGCCTGTGTGCCTGCCTCAGGTGCGCTTCCCTCACCTACATAAGGAGGACTTCTCCCAGTCCCCTCTGCAAAGATAACCTTGTTGGTTTTGAACATTCTGTTCCTCCCCCACCCCGAGGATTTTAATATAATCTACCTAATTATGCTCAGCCACTCTTGAAGAAAACAGACAGTAATGTTTTTCAATAAATATGGAAACACATCAAACATTGGACAATATCATTACTCAGCCAGTCAACTGAAAAGGCATGATAAAATTGGAAAGCTCCCGAGGCAGAATCCAAACAAGCCACAGCATTGAGAATTAAACCCACACTGGCCCCATGCTGGGTCCTGGCGTGCTGGAGGACAGTAGGGGTTCCAGAGGCTGGTTTTTAGTCTTAAATCAGCGTCTGACAGGCTCTGAGGAGCCCAGAGAAGTCGCCTTCTTTCTCTGAGCCTCAGTTTCCTTAGCTGTAAAACGAGGGTGCTCATACCTATGAGCCCCAGAAGGGGCAATCTGAGAGGATGGGATGAGCGTGTGCTGATGATTGATGTAAAAGGCACTTTGGAACTTATGCAGAGGCAGACCAACGGTTACTATTAAAACACGGGGAGAGGACATTGAGACAGGGTAGGGGGGAGTGCACTTTAAGAATGTAAGGAGGAAATATTTTAAAAGAGAAGGAGGGAGAATGTCAGAACATCAGGAAGAATGGCTACCCCTCTCTCATTATGAAGCACCAGGCATCATGGGAAAGGAGGCATTTTTTTTTTTTTTAATTAGAGAGATCTGGATCCGTGCAACTCTGCAGCCCTGAGGCCCCAGTGGCCTCACCAGCCTCACCTACCAGGGTCTTGAACACACAAAATTCTTTCCTGCCCCTGGGCCTTCACACATGCTGCCCCCTTTAACTGGGACACTTGAAAGTCTACTGGTTTTTTTCTTATTTGGTCTCAGAAATTACTTCTTCAGGAAGGGTTTAGCTCACACCCCAGTGTTGGTTAAAGGCTCTTATGATGCGTGACTCGGGTGTGGTGAATGCCCCACCATCTCCCCTCTGGCACACAACTTCCAGCTCACACCCACAGCATCCGACCACACACCCCAGTGACCCTCCACGTATGGACTTTTCTCCCTAGGCGGGGGGAATGCTGGAATTGCTGGAGAGGGAAGGCCCCCAGGAACAGCCAAGGATGGGTGGGGTTGGAAGATAAATAGCCCCAGGTCTCTCACCCCTTAGAGGAGGACAAAGCTCTGAGGTTCTCAGCCTAGGTGAGCCCCAGATGCCAACCGCAGTGACTTGCTCAGTGGTACAGCTTATACTGGTTTCCTTCCTTCTCCACCTTAATTCCCCTACTTGTACCAGTGTGTCCGAGGATCACCCCCCAAATAAAATTACTTGCCCTCAAATCTCTATCCCAGGGTCTACTCCAAAAGAAACCCAACCAAAGACATACACAGAGACTCTCCAATAGCAATTAATGATTAATGAGGAAGTTATTTGTT